ATTATTCTGCTGTACTTTATCGAAAGGAGAAAAAAAATTAAATTAACATAATAATAATGACCTTTTAAATCATTTTATTTCTCTAAAACAATAACATTATAATTCATGTGTATTCTCTATTTCCTTAAACTAACATGACTGAACAAAATAATTTTTGAAAAACTTAAGACTGACTACATCAGCCAGGTCCACATGAACAACTTAAAATACTGCCTTCTGCAACTCAATTATCTTTGTCTTCCTTTTTGTTTTGTTTGTTTACTTACAATTTGAAAAAGAAAAAAAGTTTTCTTGCCTTCAACATTAAATTCAGTTTAATCCAGTCATATCCCCAGGTTCATTGGATTTCCTTTCCTTAAAACATCATCAGCAAGCATACATTTTTGAATGCTTTCTCTCTCATTCTGAAGTTGGTCATAGTTGGCATTAAGGATTCATGATTGCTGGGTGTCCACGTCATAGCTAATGCTTTTTCTCCAGCACTTAAGGTTTGATGGTGCTAAGTATTGACAATATTTGCAAAAACATAACCGGAGGTAGTGCTTGTCCCATTCATTTTTTTAACGCTTGTAATTTAATTCTGCCATTGCATCATTCTGTTTTGAGTGTTCACTTATATATTTTTTCCCCAACTTCCAACAGCATCAGTAGTAAAACAGCTATTTTTCTGTGTTTTGTTTAAAGCTTCAGAAATTGGTTTCAGGATGCTCAGTATATGTGCAACATTTATCTTCAGCCCAGTGTTGAGGATTTTGGCCACCACAGTGCCATCTATTTTCTCTTGATTTTGTTCACAAACTGTCACCAGAATAGGCCGGTTCTTGTGTATCGTCAAAACAGTCCATTATCGAGTTCCATCTAACATCTTGTGCAAGAGTTGATTTCGCCCATTCTTTTCACAGCAGCTGTTGCAAAATATGGTTGTTACAAGAGCATTCAGCAATTTCAATAACATGAGTCTTTGTTTCAGGAACACTGGAATTTTTGGCTAGGAGGTGCAGATGAACACTCCAGTCGTATATTATTAGCTTGGTGTTCTCTTCATTTTCTCCTAAGTTTCTTCTCATCTTGGATGTATTTGCAGCATTGTCTGTGACTAAGTTGCATATTAGACCTTCCTGATGCATCATTTGTTTCTGAAGACATTTCCTTCCTCTCTTGTTCTACAGAATAGAATCATTGTGGATATTGTTCCACCCACCAAGATTTAATAATAATAATTGTGTGTCATCAAGAACCTTTTCAGTTTTTTCTAGGTAGAGGGTACTTGGAAGTGGTTTATCATTCCCTTCTTTTGTGGGCAAAACTTGTGCAGCTTGCCCAAGGCCACATAGGCTGGCTGTACTCACGGGAGGTGCAGCGGGGGCTTGAACTCCCAACCTTCTGGCTCCACCAGAAAATCCACTCGGGATAACTCACTGAGCTCTCCAGCCAGCTATAGGTTTACTCTCTAGACTGGCTGCATTTCACTTAATTTCTCTTTCATATACTTTAATCAGCAGTTTCCATGGAACATCTGCTTCGTTGGCTGGACTGTGCCCTGGTCTTAATGATCTGATCGTATTAATGAACTGCAGGCTTTCATTCAGATGGGGAAAAAAGTGTGTCAGAGAAACAAACTAGGCCTTTTTAAAATCCATTTACTCTTTTTCTTAATCTGCTGGTTGTTATCACAAACTTAAATGTGGTGGTTCTTGGATAGTGGATTTTTTTTTAAACTATAAGTGATTTGCTCTGCAGATATGACTATCCTGGACAGAAAACTCTGAAACTGTAGAGCAATTTTAACCATCTTAAAGGTTAAAGAGATTAGGAATCTTGTATGTTGATGTTTGATTTCCCTAAACATAAAACATTAAGGCTGTTATTTCGTTATTTGTTAACTTCATCACAGCTTTCTCTGTTGAAGGAACATTGATCATGATGTTGTTTTATTTGGGCCACCAAATGTTGCTGTTTGTTGTTGCATGCATGCATACCTGCCTTAGAGGATCTTCATTAAAATATTCCCAAACTGGGTCTCTTTCACGGCCTGCTACCATTATATGTTTTCTCTTAAAGGAGGACGATAATATTGACAAATCTCACAAAGATCTCAAGGCTAACAGAGTATTCTGCTCCAACAGTTCCGTGTTGGCTGCCCCTCTCTCCTCATGCTTTGCTCTTAATATCTCCTCCTTATCTAGCTCAATTCCACCCCAAACAGTCTTTTATTCACTGAGCTCCTTGAAGCGTAGGAGGTAAGAGGTAAGGGATCAGTTTTGTGTACACAGATTTGCAGAGAAACAATAGGACTAAGGTCTCTTTCTCAGCTGCATAGGTTTGTTCAAAAACATTTTTACTGTTAAGAACTCTGCAAACATGTTTTCAGAACTGCAAAGTCAAGCATCTGTGAGGGTATATTTTAACTAGAGAAAAAAACAACCCAAAATACTCTTACAGAAACATCCAGGAGAGCAGGGCATTGGAGCCCTAATGAATGAATTAATGAGATGCATTTACAAAAAAATAAAATACTGGAGGAATATTTAGTCTCATACTACATGATTAAAAACTAATCCATCTTTTCTCTCTAGAGAATTTTTTTCAAATTATTTCATCAAACAAATCCAATTAACAATTTTAAAAAATTCTAAATCAAATAAGAAATCCTTAATTTTTGTCCTCTTTAGTAGTTCTCAAGATCCCAAGAACAAATGGAGGGATTACAGCTGCTTGTCTTATAGAGACAGTGTAGAACAGAACACAGTGAGCATTTCTTTCTATGCTTACTAACTATGACTCTTGATGTTGTGGCTTCTATCAAATAAAAGGGAAAGTTGGTTTCATTTCCTGACTATGCATCAGCATGTCAGTCTTGTAGGTCTGTAGAATGTAGCTGTGGACATTATGATGCATTACTGCTGTTGTTTTATGAACAAGCGTCTGGTTTTTTTAAAAAAAATCTGCATGGTTAAAATACACCATGCTATTACCTTCTTATAAACATTGTGCAACGTAGGTTTCCACCCTGAAAGATGTAACACATTCTCGACTAGTGGAAGCACTCAGTGATAAAAGCCACACCTAAGAATGTTAAACCTTACAGCTGCAAAAAAAAAAAAAAAATATTCATTGAATAATGTAGTTGGAAGGGGCCTATAAGGCCATTGAATCTAACACAACACAGGTATCTAAATAAAAATATATCGAGACAGGTGGTTGTCTAATTTTTTTCTTGAATGCCACCAGCATTAAAGCACTCGCTACTAGAGGTGGGCACAAACCTGAAAAATGGTGGAAAACTGAACTGGTTTGCAGTTTGGTTTTTGGTTTGTGCCCATTGGGAAAGGGGGCTCCCTCTGGGTACGTGCCCACCTCTCAGCTGATAGGTGGGCACATGGGCAGTCTCAGCTGACCCAGCTCCTTGCAATTTTGTCTGTTCTTCTTGTGCCTGAGCCTTCGTCTGTCTTCGCCTCTGATTCAGTCTCCCTCCCTGTTCCAATTAAGTTTAAACTCCTCCTGATGAACTTCTTCAAAATGTGGCCAAACGCATTCTTCCCATCCCTTCTGCGGTGCAGCCCGTCCCTTGCCAGCAATCCATCTTCCAGGAAGGGTAGCCTGTGGTCTCCAAATCCCTCATGTTGGCATGGCTTCTGTAACCAGTTGTTCGCCTGGAGTCTTTCCCTTTTTTGTTCCTCCTCCAAATATGGATTGGGCAGAACGGAGGACTCTCTGGGGCCCCAAAGTCCTTGCATTTCCTTCCCAGAGCTTTGCTTGATATGCTTTCTTCATAGTGCGTCTTGACTATGTCATTTGTGCATTGAGCAAACAGAACATACCTTCTCTGTTGATATGGTGGTGAGAACAAGCTGGTGACCGACTGGCTGTTGCTTCTACCAGAACCGTTTTCTCCCACCCCGGCTCCCTTTTGATTGCCAAATAACACAAATCCTTTCATCTGCCTTCCCTCTTTGCAGTGGTCCCACCCTTCATTTTAATATCCCCTTTATAACAAGCAGCTTCCTGGATCGCTCGATGAGTCGGAATACTTCAGTTCTTCACTGTGCTTCCAGGGAGACCAGCTTGCTTAGCCCTAGCCAGGGTGCACAGTCTCAAAGCAAATTCGGACGAAGGGAATGGCATACCTAAAAAAATAAGTTGACATTGACTTGATAACAGGTTCTCCCCTTCTCCTCCTCCTCCAGATGCAATCCAGGATTTGTGGAAAGCCCTAATCTCTGTTCTCTTTCTCTCTTGATATCAGGACGTAATATTGACCAATCTGATTTGTATGGAATCCAGTTTTCTACCTTTTTGCTCTGATTTGCTTTTTATACATTCTACATCTTACATATTTAATATATTTAGAATGCGGACCGCCTTGACCACTTAAAAATATATTACAGAATATGTCGTGCTCAACGAATGGAAAGAGCTGTTTCCTGGTTTGCTGTTGAACAGAAATCTAAAACCAAAAGTGGCTTTCTTCTTCCAGAATGCTCACTGTAACCATCTACTTCTGTGTGAAATGTGATTTCAGTAGCCGGTACAGATGCAAGTGTCTCGTGCGCTGAATACTTTCTCAAGCGATCACACAAAGAGTGAGCGTTACATGATTTCATTCTTTAATCCAAGAAGAAAGTCTACATTATTTTACAGCCTAGCAATTGAATTGCACACACAAAAAAAGCTGCTGTGAATATTTGGAGGCAGTTAGCTAACTTCTGTCTGGGGAGCCATTGCTAAAAGGTCATCTGAAAAAAATAAAGCTGGAAAGCTGTGACTTCTAACTGCGACTTAGTTCTTGTTGTGTGATGTATCAGAAAAAATATCCTGTCTTTGATGGAGCCACCTGCAAAATGTGCATAATTAAATGAACTCTAATCTCCATAAATTACTGCTTCTTGCAATGGTATGCTGAATCTTAAATTTACTTGGAGGAAATGGGATCAGAAATTTTAAAACTGTCCAAGTACCATAAATGAAACTTGAGTTATCAGTGTGTTTGAAACACTGTCTGACAACCAAACAATATGCCAGTTCTTTTCAAGGTATATGCTGTGGATGTAGAGGTGAAAGATGATGAGAACGTGACGTGTCTATATGCCAAATGGATGATGAACCTCTCAATAACTTACGAGTCTGCAATTAATGAATATGTAAGTATTATACCTGGTGTTGTTTCTGTTCTTCAAGCTGCCCTAACCTGTTGTATACCTTTTAAATTGCTTTTCATCCTGTTTTTTTTAATAGTTAATCAATTTAGTTGTCTTGATATTAACAATAATTTACAGTGTTTTAACAGAGTGTTGAGTTCTTAGTTTAAGAGAACAATAGTTCGATTCTCCCCACGGGGCGATAATTTACAGTGTTTTAACAGAGTGTTGAATTCTTAGTTTAAGAGAACAATAGTTCTATTCTCCCCACGGGGCCTCCTTGATAGTGGCTGGCTTGATGATCCACGAGGTCTCTTCCAGCTCTATCTTTCTGAGATTAACATCTTCAGGATTGAATCATAGGCACCTTGGCATAATTCCTAGTGAGGTCTAAATCCATTATCACACTTAAATTCCCGACTAATACGGTATTTTAGCATAATGAGAAACACTTATTGATTCATGATACAGGAAAACATTGACTTCATTGACATCCCCGCTTCAAATGGCTTACAACCTTCCCTTTGTTGTACTTTTGTCTTCACAACAACCTTTGTTGGAGTCACGAAATGAGAAGGCTGATGGGCTTTGTGATGATCACCAGATAATTAGGATAGCAAATAGTCTCTTAGAGATAGACGTTAAAGAAGTCAGCCACACACACAGGGATGTCTGCCAGCAGTGCTCCTGAGGGGGGACTAGTAGAGGAGGCAGAATAACACTGAATGGGTTCCCAATGAATTCTGCTCTGCACGCAGGAGGACTGTGCTTTTATTAACCTTACAAGCTCACAGACAGTGGACAGTCTACAGATAGGTTACAGAGTTCAGATAGGACAGTGGTTACATCATGCCATTATGATTGGCCTAATGGAAAGGCTCTATGCAAGCTTTCTAGCTCCTATGAGAAAGAAGAAGAAGAATGGTGGGCAGTCATGCCCTTCAGAAGCAGCTGTGACGTCATCCAGGAGAGTTTGCCCTCTACTGTAGATTAAGCCAATAGCTTAGCAACCTTGGGAATGGCACCCCCACAAACCTTGTGAGATGGCATAGATGGAGGTTCCTCACTGTTGCCAGGTCATCCAGGGAGGTTCACAGCTGGGTTGGCCTGGTCTTCATCCATTTGTCTACCCATTTGTACAACACTGGTTGTTTAATGTCTTTGGAGAATGTTCATGTGTATATTTCGTCTTCAGACCAGACACACAGCCAATGTCTTACATGTGATTTTGAAATAATGTACAGAATCGTCCAGTCTGACCCAAACTCAATATATGGGAATTAGATCTTCTTAATGAGTAAGTCACAACTGAAGTAGCTGTGTTGAATCGGTAGGGTTTTGATGAGTTAACCCCTATGTGAGATCCAATGATAACAACGGGCCTATTGAAGTTGTAACTTACTCCTGGATGTCAGCCAGTTATGTGTGTGGTTCTTGAATATTGTACATGAATATTGTCCTGTTCAGAGTAACTGCCATTTTTGTTGTTTTTCAGAAAAGCGTAGCTTTTATGTTCCCTGAAAGCGTGAGGTATGATGGAAGCACATGCGGCAATGAAACCTACGGTCCGATACTAGCCATGGAGTTTGGCAATGGTCACTTATGGAGTATCCAGTTCACTAAAACAGAGGCCACCTATCAAGGGAGCATCTCTTTCACTTACAATACCAATGATACAGAGTTATTTCCAGATGCTATAAGGAAAGGTAAAAAAAGGGGGAGGTCCCCCATCTTCTGAGCGGTAACTGTTCACACTGCAGTAACTCTTCTTTTAACAACTGGTCGGGGCATTTTTCTCTTGTGTTGTTGCTGTTTTTAAGAGTACCATTCTGAGCCCAGGTGATCTCAGTCTCTGCCCCGAAGAAGACTTTGATATAGCCTTGACCCATTTGGTTGTGTAATTTGAGTGGGGAGAGGGCCCACATCGCCAGATTTCATCCCCTGCCACTGGATCTAAAACTGTCTCGGCTTCAGAGACATCCGAGTATGTGAGACCCACTGGCTCTTAACTGGGTTAACGGGGGGGGGGAGGCCCATCCTCCCTCGATCCATCAACGTGGCCAGAGGTGATTTTGCACAACTAGGTTTTATGGCAACTGGGTCGGGGCTTGCAAACAAGGTGCAATTCTGGCCCTTGGGGTTCGTTCCCTTCACTCTGCTTGAGTGGAGGTTGTCCACCATCTTTGCCTCCTACCGTTAACTCTCCACGGAGGGGGTTGCCGATCCGTCCTTTTCTACTGCATCCTTTCACGTCAGCCTGAACGGCAAGGCTTGTAATAAGGACACTCAAGACACCTGCACTGAGTCCAACCTTGGAAGTCTTTTTCCATCACCTTCTTCCCTTGGACTGCAAGCTGACATTGGCATTCCCATTGGGGGCCGCCTTCACCCGTGTCGGAACTGGGTCGCTGTCCATTCTCTGGGTCCAGATTCGACCTGGCAGCGCCCCCCTCTCCTCTTGGGCTCTCCCCAGTAGTGGGGCCGAGGAGGAGGCCAGGAATTGAGATGTCTGTCCCCCCCCCAGCCCTTTGGGGACCTACACCAACACCCTGGTCCAAGGGTCCTCCTCTGCAGATATGGTCCCAGTCCCCGAGGGGCTCCGGTTGTTTGGGGAGGTCTTCTGTTTGGATGCTGTTTTCCAGTTCCTTGAATGCATCTCCCCAAGCCCCTCCTCCTTCCCCCTCTAATGGGCTGATGGGTTGCAGGTCTCCCACCTGGATTCCCTGCTCTACCTCCTCCTCCTCCCTCCAGTGCTTCCCTTATATCTTCAGCTCCGGGGGGGGGGCTGCCTTCTCTTCCCTACGGCTCGCTCTCCCTCCCCTGGCCCTTTTGCCCGGGCTCCCCACTCCAGGGCTTCCCTCTCGGCTCCTTGCTCTTGAACCCTGGTTCCTTTCGACCAGTTTCCCCCAGTGGCAGTTCCAGCTAAGCATCCCCCCGGGTCTGTGGCGGAACTCGCCATCCAAAACTCCATGGGCCCTGGGCGCGGGCGAGGTGGCCCAGCAGGCAGGGGTGCCGGCGTCCCTGTCGTCTTCCTGACACAGACGTTTCCCACAGGCATGTGATGTGTCTTTCCGCCTTGGTTGCCCTGCCTTCTGTACCCACTAAGATGTCTGCCCTGTGCCTGCATAACTGCACAGCCTGCATCATAGTATACTTAGGAGGGTCTTTTCAGCCCTAAGTTCCCAGGTGAGCCCGTATTCCTTGAAGCTAGAATCTGATGCTTCAGAGATGTATAGAATGGTGTGCTCTCTATATATAGAGCACACCATTCTATACATCTCAGATTCTAGCTTCTGGCAATATGGGCTCATCTGGGAACTTAAGGCTGAACAGACCCTCCTGAGTATTTCTATAGCTTTGAGGTTAGAGTGTCATATTCCTGAACGTAGGGTGCAGCAGGTAAACAAATTAAACATGATTCATGTTAAAACAACTTTTCCTTATGGAAATAATAAATGTGGTCTTCTGTCCTGGAAACGGTGAAGTTCTTCAAGAATAACATCCTTTTCTTTCAAAGAGCTGCTACACTTACATGAATGTCAGTCTTGCAAATAAGAAACCCTTTCCTCCCACCCACCCACCGCCAGCTTCATATCCAATATTAATTCAAAATTAGTTTTGGCAGAAAGTGGTCCTAAGCCCTCTGCTTTTCCATGCACAAATAGTATAAGGAACAGTCATGTAGGAGTTAACTGTTTTCTCTCTGAAATATACCAGGGTCTTCCAGCTTGGCTACGATGCTCGTAAGCTTTTGTTTGCAGATTGGAAGCATCCATATATTTTTTTCTCTCTACAGGACCAGTCACGACCTCTGCAAGCTTTCCAGAGCAGCCAGTCCAACTGTATACCATTTTTAGATGTCATAATATGGAGCCTGTTGAATCTGACAACGTTACCCACGATCTCTGGAATGTCACACTGCAGGCTTTTCTTGAAGATGGCTCTCTAAGTAACCAATGTGAGTAAACCGGGGAAGCATTTCTCTAGCTGTTCTCAAAATAGTATAAAGCACCGCTGCCAGTGAGTGCCTTTCCCTTTATTGTTTCAGGGACAGTGTGTGAGAACGACATTGTCGTCACCGCTGTGACTCCTGCCCCGACCACCAGGCCTGTGACGGAAAACCCCACCACCTCTACGGTGCCTACAACCCCGTTACCTCCTTTACCCACTCTCTTGCCGGTGGAGGTACCAGCCACAGGAAATTATTCTCTTATGAACGGTTCCACAGCCTGTCTTTTGGCAAACCTGGGCCTGCAGCTGAACATCTCCCAACAGGTGTGTGCCCAGGGTTTTTTTTAAAAAAATCCTTTTTTTAAAATATCATTTTTATTTGATTTGAACATATAAATCTATCAGCTACAAACAAATGTGCAATATAAGATAAAATAGAAAAAAAGAGAAAGAAATAAGGAGAAAAAGAAAAAAAACCACAACACAATCCCCCCTCCCCTTTGAGGACAGAGATTCAGACCTCATTGAATCCCAAATTTCCCAAGTTTCCAGAGAGCATTGAAGGAAAAAAAAATACATCAATCAATTTGCCCTATCCTTTGGTCTGTCCCTGGGCCCAAACATATATTAAGTCCCAACTTTGTCTTGCATAGTCCCTTGGTTGTTCTCGTAGTGCTTCTGAGAGTGTGTCTAGTTCTGTCATGTCCAACAGCTTCTTCAGGAACCCCTCCATTGCAAGTATGTCTTCACTTTTCCCTTTTTGGGCCCAGAGTAACCTAGCCGCTGTAAATATGTACATCAAACAATATTTGGTTTTCTCATCTGTAATTTCTGGCATAATATTTAGTAGTGCTATCTCAGGTTTGGGTTTTTTAAAAATTTCGAAGGGCTTAAGTATCTGCAGCGTTGGAGTAACTAATGAAAGTGGACTTGGTTTATTTTCACACATGGGGACTCACTGTGAAATTGGATTTACATCACACCAGGTCCTCAGGGTTTCCCTCCCCTCCCCCCATGACTCTGATTTAATTTGCATCTCAGAACCCACTTAACTCTCCCTTTTTTTCTGGGGAGAAAAGCTTGTTTTTAGTAGGGATGCATACTTAGGGCTTGGGACATGATGCCAAAGACTTGTCAACGTCGCTGTTTATTTTTAATGTGCTGCTTAGCAAACGGTTTGATTGAAAAGATAAAACAAACCCCAAAAATCCCAAATCAAAACAATATCAAATTCAGCGTCTTAAAGTAGTTACGTAAATCAAAGAGTGCTCTCTTTTTTTTTTCTTAACTGTAACTGATGGCTTGAATGATTTGGGAGCATGCTTGGTTGAAAAGACAACACAACGTGTGATATCGGTTCAATAGAGAAAAATACTTTGGGGTACCCAAAACCATTAACGCTGTTCTCTTTTTCTTTCCTGGTAAATGTCAACGGTGATACTTCACTCACCTTTAGAGGGAGCCCACGCTTCTGAAATGGGACCCTGAAGATTTTTCCTAAGGCTGGTCCTTATATCCATTTTTGTCTTTCCCTAATTTAAAAAAGGGGGGGAAGAGCATCCGTTTAAATAGGAGCAGTCACATTTGACGGAGATGATGTGTGGTTTGGTATTAACTGACCGAAAAGCTTGATCTTGCCTCTTAACCTCCAGGTCCCTCTGATTATTAACTTTAATCCGAAGACGACGGTTGCTTCTGGGTCCTGTGGTTCCACAACTTCTGTCCTGACGTTGAAAGATGGGAGCTGCACAGTCGACTTCCTCTTTGCTGTCGTAAGTCGCTCTCCGTTGTGTGCACGCGTGCGGTTGTTGACAGCCCTCTGCCAACATACGGATTGCAGTCCCCTTTGAGTGGTTTACAATCAGTGATCCTTGATCAGCTGTTGTGCATCTGGTATCGTTTAGGGAAGGAAATGGGATGTGGGTAAAAACCTCAACTTAGTCTTCACTTTTAAGAAGGGAACGTTTCTGCTTCGGAGCATTATTCAGGCAGATTGCAGCGCTGCTCTTAGGCTGCATATGCTATTCTGCTTACGTTCCAGTTTTTTTACGTGTTAGCTTTCAGCTTAGCTGTTTTGTCACAAACTAATGGAAGGAACCGTTCTTCCACGTTCATCACATTAACAGAGGAAGAATTTGTGCTGTTTTTTTTCTTATGGAAAATTCTGTACTGATAGTAGTCCTACGTAGTATGTACTGGCGATATCAGTAGTAAATCGTTATCATTCCTAGGATTCTAGACCTGGTGCGTGTCTCGGGCTCAGCTAGAAAGCATTCTCTTAAACTACTCTTCCCGTTGTGTGTGTAACTGGTGCATAATTTTCTTGAACAGAAAGATACAAGTTCTGACAGATTTAGTCTGAAGGAAGTGAACATCACTGTGGTTCAACCGAAAAATGGTAAGATTCCGACTGAAATCAATTTCATAAAACTTCTTCCGCTTGGGTTCTGCATAGCGACTTAGCGCTCACTTTTGCTCCACTTTTTTTTGTAAACCAGGGTTCATCCCAAGCAATTCAAGGTCCTGTTTTATTTTGATTTTAACTTTTCTGGGTGCCTGGGAAGGGGGTGACTGTAAGTCCAGGGATCCCATCGGACAAGTGGGGTAATTGTGACCTCCTCTCTGCCACCTCCAGCCGTGGTAGCAGGAGCAAGGTAACTCTTTGCTACATCCAGTCACTATGGATAGAGTTCTCACAACTACAATGAGCAGCGAAAAACGGACCAGGATGTAAGGTATTGGTTCCCTCTGTAATGATTCCTTGAATCCATTCATTCCCTGTGCGTTTATGTCCCATAGAGAGACACACACACATACAAAAAGCATCAACAACATTTCTCTTATTCTGCCTTCCTTATAGGATGTTGCATATTTGGGGTGTTTTGTTGCACTGCAGCTTTTAATTGAAACTCGTAATTAGCACCTTAAAACCTTGGTGAGATTTTTCTCGTATTGCAAGCTTTAAAACTGGTTGGCTAGCTATAAACCTTCATAGCAGCAGAACTGGTTTGAAATGAATTCTGTTAGCGTTTTTCAGAGATAAAGTATTGCTCTAAACGCCACCAACAGGCTTCCTGTTCCTCTCCAGGGACTCTTTCTGCTGCAAATCGCAGTCTTGATTACTGGGAGACCACCCTGGGCAATTCATATATGTGCCGGAAAGAGGAAACTCTCGTAGTGACTTCTGGATACAGAATGAATGTTTTTGACCTAAAGATCCAGCCGTTTGATGTACAAGATAACGAGTATGCCACAGGTAAGAACGCAGCTCCTGCCAGACTTGCCTCTGCAGGCTTTGATTTTAAGGATGGACGTAAACATGAGCAAATCCTAGTAGATGACAACTTTCTGCCTTACAACTAGGCAAAGTTTGTCCGTTATAATTAGATCCTGCAGACCAGCAGGATGCCAGCTGGGCAGAAGAGGCATGAATCACAGAAGCTGTGCAGAATATTTACTGGTGGTGGAAATGGGTGGTCTGATGCCTCTTGGCCATGTTGTCCTTGCGTTATAATTAGATCCTGCAGACCAGCAGGACGCCAGCTGGGCAGAACAGGCATGAATCACAGAAGCTGTGCAGAGTATTTACTGGTGGTGGAAATGGGTAGTCTGTACTGGTGCCTCTTGGCCATGTTGTCCTTGTGACTCATAAGGGCTTGCTCTAGAACAGGGGTCTCCAGACTACGGCTTGCAGGCCACATCCAGCCCACCTTGCTGTTTTATCTGACCCGTTCCCGTACCCCCGTGTGCACATGCATGGCAGGTGGGCATCTGTGCAGGCGGGCATATGCACGTGCACGCACATGTGTTCCTTCGGTCCTCTAAGATCTTGAAAGTGTGGCCCTCAGGGTCAAAAGTTTGGAGACCCTTGCTCTAGAAGAAGAGGTGGCCCCTCCCCTGCTATGGGAGTTTCTGCCAAAGCTCAGCTTCAGCTGTTAGAACCATCGTATTTTAGCAGCACTTGCCAGGGTTAACTTTCCTAGATTTCCACTTGTTTCTACTTGCTCAAGTGGTAAAGGACTGAGAATCTATTTGTGTTAGATAACACAGATCTTGGGCTTATTGGAGTGAATGGATCATAAAAATCAAAGCTGACCCTGTCAGTGCAAATAAGAATACAAATTTCATATTGTAAACCAGAGGTCGTCAACCCCCAAACAGACCTCCCACATTCCCCCCTCCCCACAGCTGCTTTGCGGCACGCATGCGTGTACGCGCCAGCATGAGCACTCCCCCACCCCTTCACGCATGCGCCCAAGCGCCCGCATGAAGGAGTGCATGGGCGGGCGTGCAGATGCCCCTGCGTGAAGGGGTGGGGGAGCGCTCATGTCAGTGCTGGCCCGCCACCACTTCGCGCATGCACTCAAGAGAGTGGCCACCCAAGTGCGGGGAGTGGGCGCCTCCCTCAGATGCTCAGCCGGTCTGCAGCCCCAAAAAGGTTGGGGACTGCTGTTGTAAACCATGAAAAATCTTTCTCTCCCCCCCCCTCAGCCCCTGCACACAAAAAAAGCTGCTGTGAATATTTGGAGGCAGTTAGCTAACTTTCAAAAGTTTTGAGCCCAAACTTAAGCCATGAGTATAAACCAAGAATTGGCTGCTGCTTAAGCACCCATGAAGTTTTAAAGGCTTGGCTTAGAACTCATTGTTCATTTAGTGTCAGAAACTTTTTAAAAAAAATAATGGAATGTTTGTATTAGCTTGTATATTTTCAGAGAGAGAGAGAGAGATGACCAAGGCTTTAATCACTGGGTTGTTCCAAAAGATCAGACTCCTTTTCTTGGTGCTCTTTCTTTGTACGTTACGATGACTCAGCCCTGGCTGAAGCCAGATTCTAGAATGCAGGCCTGTCATCTTCCATAAAGGCATAGCTTCTCCCATCGCCTGTGGTCGCAAACATCTTTTTCCTTCTCCCCACTTTTCTTGTCTACAGCGCAAGAGTGCTTGCTGGACGATGACACCGTTCTAATCCCCATTGTAGTTGGCGCCGCTCTTGCGGGGTTGATTGTCATTATAGTGATTGCTTACGTAATTGGCCGAAGAAAAAGCTATGCCGGCTATCAAACCCTGTAAATGTTGCCTGGCTGTTCTCTTCGGCTCTGGTTGTGATAAAGGAAGTGCAACATCCCCAGGTGGAAACGAGGCACCTAAAATTCACGGTTCTCTCTTCTTAAGAGTGTGGAGTTGCCCCAAACTAAAAGGTGACCAAGGACGTACCTCTTCAAATAAGGACTGATTAAGTACACTGGAACAGACTAATGGCAAAACTAGCGTGTGACGTTCATCTTCTAAACATTTGTATGGAGACGTGATGTGTGGAAACACGTCTGTATGGAGGCACCTCTCTAAGTCAGCCACAGTCAGAAAAAGAAGTTCATATTTTGACGCATCTGTGGGAGTAGCGCAACTTGGGAAATCTGGGCTCTGTACTCATGGGCTGGTCCTTTCCGTTGTTAACAACTCAAGTGTAAGCTTTGGAAGTGGTGGGACAGTGGCAGGCCACGTCAGTAGCATTCATCCAGGTCACGGCATGGAGCGATGAATATCTGGCGATGGCCAGTTGGACCCAAGCAAGCCTAACACAGGACAAGAGTGTGTTACAAGCATTTCTTTACTCTTTCCATGGCAACTGCGACTTTTTTGTAAACCCTAAATGTCCTCTGATGCTCCATGGGTTACGGTAGACAGCAGGCACCTAATCTTGTAGGCAGGTGGAGACTTAATTAATGGATCCACAAAGGGAAAGTAAAGGACTCTTCTATTCATCTTCTATTAATTTTTCTTCTCTTGTCTTTGAAAAGAAGAGCAACTCACTGTTTTTTTAAGTGCCCTTAACTAGTCCAGTAAATGCCTGTCATTCTGCAGATCCTTTCCAGCTACTGATGGGATCTTTTTAATTTTGTTCATACTACTTTGAGCACAAAAGAAGACAAGAGTTGAAAGTCACCTGTTGATTCTGGGGCCTAACATGTTATAGCCACGTGTTGTTCCTCCATGAGCTTTGGTGGGTTGCTACACTTGGAGGAAGCTGCTTCTTGCAGCACGTAGAGGCAGGCCGTCTGATTTGGCATTGGATTCCCACGATATATCTTGGCAGCAGTTGGTGGCAGATGCAAAACAATGCTACTCAACTCCCACTTTACTTCAGAAAGGGATTGGGCTCCTCAGAGATAGTTGAAACCTGCAGCGCCTGATGCGCCACACGTGGGAATGGCCTCAAAAGAACAAGCCGTCTCTTCTGAGATTCAAACTGGTCTTGCTAAGAACTGGAGTGTGTGTTGTGTGCTCTACTCTTAAATGATTTGCTGCAATCTAAAATTTCACTTAAATCAAGAAATTTCCTATAGCCACCAGAAAACATCCTTTATACCTTATTTTGAGAATGAAAATAACAAGGTGGTCACCTGCACGCTGCATTTATTTACTTGCTCTTCTGAAATTATGGGTTGCTCGTCGTTCAGATTCACTCTTGCAAACACACCCTTCTAGTAAACAAATTTCTCAACTTAATGATTTGATGCTGTGTGTCTGTGTTAACATGTGCCAGCTTACTGTAATTGTCCACACCATGCTATCATGATGATTGTGGCCGCCACAGCTGCCCCAAAGTCACAAAGAGACAAATTCCTGAAGACCCCATCAAGTGTACATCTTCGTTTCGAAGGCAGAGAAATGCCTCTGAGCTTCTTAACTTAAAACCTTTGCAACAGCTTCAAAGTAACTGGCTTGTGTGAACACTTGGAACTTTAATGTCTGCTTTTAACCTGTTGAAGCCACGCTCTTTCCTGTAATTGTATTTCTACATTCTCACTTGATTGTTTTGTCTGCAAAAAAAAAAAGCTTTAATAAAGACTTTACTATTCACAAGGATGCCTTGGTCACCCTGCTTAATTGGATGGCTTTTGCAGGAAAGCCTTTCTCAGACCACATCTCCTGACCCAAAGCTGGAAGGTGGCTTTGTCCAAGTTGAGTTTTACAATTAGCTGGGTTTTGCTAGCCACAGGTGGAGGGTGGATGGGTGGGAGGACATAGTTCTGTCCTTTACATAATTCCAGAAACGATGGCCACCGTAAGTGCTGATGGAGACTTGACTTGCGTGCTTTTGGAAGAGGATGTGATAAACGCATTGGGGGAAATAAATCTGCCAGACATGGCTCAAATCAGACCTCTTTTTTTCAGAAGTGGAAAAGACAAATCATAGGGGGAGGTGTGATTTCTCTGTGTCTGATTCTCCACTTCCTAGAGGCATTGAGACATGGCTCAAATCAGACCTCTTTTTTTTCAGAAGTGGAAAAGGCAAATCATAGGGGGAGGTATGATTTCTCTGTGTCTGATTCTCAACTTCCTAGACGGGTAAACAGTGTTGAAAACAGGTTGATCGATGAGAGTATTTGATCCGTTTGGGGGTCTTCTTACCTGGGTCTTTGGGCATGGGCATGCTGGCTGGGGCTAACAGGAGTCATCATCCAGAAAATTTAGAGGGATGGCTACAGTTTGCTGCCTATTTCAGTGTCTGTATAGGGGGGGGAAACTTGAGATGCATTTGCTTTGACATCCATGATGACACAAAATGTGAGACACAAATGACTGTGTAATCTCAAGAGGCAGTTCGCCTGCTTAACTGTTCCTATTGTTGCCCTTTCTCCATCCAGCTGAAGACTGCAGCCCAGATGTGGACAACTACTTTGTGCCCATTGTGGTGGGAGCAGCTTTGGCAGGATTAGTTTTTCTGGTTTTTATGGCGTACTTTGTTGGCCGCACAACTCGTCGTAATGCCAGTTATGAGCAGTTTTAAAAAAAACGGGATGCCGTTTGGGTAGAACGTTTCCACTTCCAACCTACAGAGGAGCGAGGTGCATCTGAAGAGCTGGCTGTTGTCATGCCCATGTTTAAAAAGAAGACTTTTTAAAAAAAAAAAGATACCAAAGCTGACTCGGGAAATGAGAGCGCTACATGTTGAATCAGCTCCTCGTAACTTATTTGGAATTCTAGTTTAAGCCAAGAATACTTTTCCCCCCCGAAAATTCATCACTGTGGTGCCAAAATACTATGATGGTACAGGCCATTAGCCACATTCTATTCTATAAAGACTGGCTCAGAATTAACTCAATTAGAAACCAGTCTTAATGAGGTTCTGCTCCCTCTTCTCCATTTCCTAGTGTTTGCTTTGCTTTACCAGTGCAAGACAAATTTCTCTGGAGGAAAAACCCCACAATGATTAGAACTATGGTGTGAAGCTGTGTGTTTTTCTTATGTTTATGTTAGGGACCTTTTGTATAGTAGCTCTGGTTTGTGTTGATGTACACAGAATATGAAACCAGGAAAGGGAGAGTGGAAATCTCTCCCAACAGCAGCCGAGGAAGAGGTATCGCGGGTTCACAAATGTGCCTTTCTAACACGAAATCATGGTTGGCAGAATTAAACCTTTATTGGAATAAAACAAACGCAAAGCAAGTTTTGATGATTTGAAAGGCCATAAGTAAATCTGGTGTAGCATATTTTAGACCTGTTTTGGACTCCCCTTGAGTACTACAAGTTTAAATGTACAAGTTCACACTGCTGGAACAGCCCTTAGTTCACCTCTAAATTAAGCGTGGGGATATGTTTCCCAAATCAATAATCTTCACCCCCTGATGTCATACTGGATGGCTATCATATTACTGGATGTTTTGTGTCCTTTAAACAGTGGGCCTGTAGCGCCCTTCCATTGCCCCATGGCCAAGTTGAGTTTTATCTATTTTTTGAAATATGCGATTAAACTGAAGTCCCAGTATCAGCCTTTTCTTTCCTGTAGCAACCCAAGACATTTGAAGTGGCTCTGATAGTTGTAAGATGTTGTACTACCTAATATATGAGGAGGTTATTGTCAACTGGGTTGGAGGTTTGTGGAGAAGTATCAGAACTAAATCTTGTTGCGGATTGTCTTAAATAATATGCATACATACTGACATTGCACATGTGATATAATGACATCTGGTGTTGTTGTGTGTGTGTGTTTGTTTTTTGTGTGCATAGATCATGTGTGCCAACCACACTAAACGTTCTTTAGCATGACACTGAAAATACTGAGAAGTCACAGTCAATCTTAGATTTGCATTCTTGCCCTAAGTCGTGGCCAAATGCTCCCAAGCACTTATTCCTGGAGTGGATCATTCTTGCTTGTTGTGCTATTCCTTTATGGTTGTAGAGCGACTTAGCCACATGTTTACCAAAGCAACTGCCTCAGGCACCCTTCCTGTAGCAGCAAAAAAGTAGGGCTTCCACAAACTGTGTTTCCGTACGAAAGTAAATTAAACTTTAGGATATCTAATCTTGTATAATAATTTGCTGTGAAAGAGGTGAGAATGTTGTATTATTTTAAATTCATGTTAGCTTTGTGTGTGTTTCCGCACAACTTGAACATGTTACAATAATAAAATGAATTGCCTTGTGACCTCTGCCCCCCACCCTGTGAGAACTCGGCGAAGCTTTGTGGTTGTGTGGTGCACAAACCTCCTTAAACTTCTTCTTTTTTTTTTGCCAAGTCTGCCTGTGAAACTCCAGCCTCTTGCTCTTTGAGGTCTTAGTATTTGCTAGTTTGTAGATTGGGATCTGTCTCTCTCTCTCTCCACGGCATTGATGGGAAGGCTAAAGGTTAAACTGGGTATCCAGCCTGCCCTGCCTTGTTTTTCTTCGTCCTTGAAATGATCCTCAGCATGACAGACAGGAACCTGGCATGACGGGCATAGATGAAATCTAAGTTGCCTTGATTCTCCTGTCTTGTTTGACATTGCACATGTGATTGTTTATGACCAGGATTCGGAAACTGACCAGTGCCCCTTCAAAAGTTTTAAGTGAGCTGTTATTTTTCCAAACCAGGCTAATGCTAGTCTCTTGGAAATTGGCCTCTGTGATTTAAATAGATTGCAAACGTGTTAGGGGAGAACTCGGGTTACTTTTGGCCCTGGGTTTCGTTCAACGATAAACTAACACAAACTTACAAATGAGCTCACCCAATGTTCTAGCCTGGACAAAACTTCAAATAGCCACCGTGCCCCCATCGAAGCATGAGTTTGTTGTGTTTGCCACATGGACAAGCTTTTTTTAAAAAAAAAGGAAATAATCGTATTTCAGTGTCCGTCCTTTGGAGTAAGTTTTCACTTCTAGGAAAGTGGCAGTTTGTGAGTCTGTTTGAACACTGTTCTGCACATAGGTACTTTCTCAGTGCAGAGAACAGCAAGATTGAGAGCACTATGTGCTCTCAAGTTAATTCTGATATACCATATTTTTCTGTGTATAAGACTATACCTTTGTCTAAAATCTTTAGACTAAAAATTGAGGGTCGTCTTATAGATGGAAGTAAGCTGAGGAGAGAACAAAAACAAGTGGATGGGAAAGCAGGGATCAAAGCGATCCTGCAGCGCTTTGATCCCTTTCCCCCTACATTTGCTAAGCCCCACTTAGATTACTTAATTTTGGATTAGAAAAGTGGGGGATGTCTTATACATGGAAAAATACAGTAGCTACCCTTGCCTGGGCTCCCTAGGTATAAAGTACTGAGAAATAGTTTACTAGTCCCCCACTTCTGGTGGCACTTTAGAACTGAGCAGCTTGCCCAAGGCTACATAGGCTGGTGCTTCTCCCGATATCCGGGTATAAAGCCGCCAAGGCACTATGTGATCTTTCATTACTGATCTTGATTCAAAGGAAGCAGCACCAAATCTCCACATCAGCCTCCTGATCAGTATTATTTTTGGAATGTTTAAAGTTTGTCTCATGATTTAGATGTTGTCATCAGTGCACACGGTGGTATCTCCCCACGTGGGTAGGGATGCTAGGTTTTGCCATCCAAAATTGCGTCCTGATAGAGGCTCCATCTGCTTAAAAATACAACTTCGGCCATGTATGAAGACTAAGCAGAATAAGATCAAGCTTATGTTGCGAAGGTGTCTTTTGACGAGGGATTTGGAGTAAACTGGTCAGGGGGTCCTGGGGTGCCCCTTCTGTGTGCACCCCTTCTCGGACCATGGGCATCCTCCTTGCCTTTGACCAGTCTCCAAAAATCTGTCTTTCCTTTATAATTCACTTCAGATCCAAAGTGAAGGTTGGGAAATGCACTTGGATGGTTTCCTTCTCTTCCCTTTTCCGAAACATTCAGAGAAATCCCAAACAGGGCTGAAATTCCTTCCCCAGGGACCTCTTGGAGGATTTCTAGCCATGTTCGGTGGATGGCTTGTCTAAAGACACTAAACATCAGCTAAATTAAGCAGAACTTGGCAAATACATTGTTGGACTTTTGATAATATATCCTCCATTGCTTGGCTGGCTCACTAACACGCTGTCCCTCGCTCTCTCTCTCTCCTCCCCCTCCCTCCCCCCTTTTTTTTTAAATTTTCTGTATCTTTCTACAGCTGAAGAATGCAGCTCTTCTGACCTTCTGATTGTCATCCCTATCGTTGTGGGCGTGCTGGTTGGCCTGCTTATCATTGTCCTTTTTGTCTGTTACATGATCGGAAGGCGAAAAAGTCAGAGCGGCTATCAATCTGTTTAACCCTTTCTCTGCTGCTGCTGCTTCTGCTGCTGCTTCTCTTCCTCCTTTTGTTTTCTTTGCCTCTTAACAGACTTTTTTTTTTAGAATGGTTTTCTAACATTAAAAAAAGAAAAAAGGAATCAGGGTCAATGTCTCTGTGCACGTGGTGTGGGGAGCAAACACTGATCAAGCCTGGCTGCCTCCTTCTGACTCTTCAGCGGCTTTTCAGAAATATTGACATACCTTTTTTCCTGACAGAAGAACCACTGGAAATACAGCCTCTCCTGCCCTTCACA